GAGATGGCTGAAAACTCATCTCTTCCATGAGCACTTAACAGCATCCTACTGACTTTTTCACGGCCAAAAAATAAAAATAAAAATAAATAAAATTCTATGTACCTATTTTTTTTGCCTGTACTGTTCTAAACAATTTCTGAACTTTGTATTGCTGGTGCTTATAATAAATTGTCTGCCGTCTTCCTCATTTGGAAGTCACCTTGGATAACGGCGTCTGCTAAATTAATAAATGTAAATGTCATATAAGAGCTCAAGCCCAAAATGTATGCCATTATTCCTTGATATTCATCTCCTCTACTGTGGCTTTCAAAACATTTGTTTAAAGGGGTCATCGGATGCAAAATTAACTTTTCAAGTTGTTTGAACATAAATGTATGTTGGAAGTGTGTGTGATATGTGAGAACCAATGAACTTTTGCATTTATGCAGCATTTTTTTGTAGTACATAAGACTTTTGCAGTCAGTTCCAACATTTTGGCAGAGGGGAAGATTATTAGTGAATATGGACTTAAATAAGGACAAAGAACCACCTGATGCGAAGATTAGTGCAATTCAATAGCGTAATACAAAACCAGCCATGGATTATCTTGCTTATAGCGCATTTATTCAGAACGCTAAATTAAACTGATTGAACTTGTGGTGAACACTACATTCCAGGACACAGTTTATGGAGGGGCCCCTCTCTGACCACAACAGTGGAAGGTTTTTGATTGGATCTTGGTGGACTAACATAAGCAAACTAGGACAATGCTAGGACAATGGCCAGACACCTCTTAGAGGGCAAGATGAATACCACTGGCACCAAGACTGGGAAGGAAAGGATTTCCCATTGGTCCACATGAAGTTTCTGCCCTTCACCCATCTAGAGACTGATTCCTAAGGTTTTGGCCCGTGACTGACAAAAATTATCCTTAGGATCTCTGGATGCATCAGCAGTGGGTGAAAAAGAGATCACAGAAATCCATCCAAATCCATTCATAACTATGTTTTCATGAACCCCAAAACACCCATTTCATACTTAGAAGAATAAGTATTCTCAACAACAGCTATGTGTAGCGGTCAAATGAAAGTATGCGTGACAGTTAAAGTATTTCCCCATCACATTTGATCTTTATTTGTTTAGAATATTGCCAAAGGTCTTCTGGTTGTGGTTTGGAAAGTGAGAAATGCACCAGTGAAACTTCAGTGACACTTTCGTAATTGTGTGTTTGGACTATGCAAATAAGTTCCACAGGAGAAAAGAAAGGTGGGCCACACTGTGTCCCCCGCTCTGATAGAAACAGCCAATCATAGCATGGAAATGGTGAAACACAAAATTGTATTCTCCTCCTCATCGTAAAGGGATAAAAGTACCGTTTTCAACAGACACTCCTTGTTCGGAGTCTCCAGCCTGTTTGGTAGGAGGCAATAGCAGATCACCAAGTGTATAAGTGAAAGTGAAGTGACATGCAGCCAAGTATGGTGACCCATACTCGGAATTTGTGCTCTGCATTTAACCCAAGTGAACACACACTTGGAGCAGTGGGCACTGGGCAGCCATTTTTGCTGCGGCGCCCGGGGAGCAGCTGGAGGTTCGGTTCTTGCTCAAGGGCCTATCGTGGTATTGAAGGTGGGAGAGAGCACTGGCCATTCACTCCCTCCACCTACAACCCCTGCCGGACCTGAGACTCAAACCCACAACCTTCGGGTTACAAGTCCGACTCTCTAACCATTAGGCCACGACTGCCCCTGTGAAGGTGAGACACTAACAGTAACACCCAGTTCTGAGTCTCTGGCCAGTGAGGGAGAGATGTCAACAGATAAAGCTCTGAGCCTCTTTTGGAAGCAGCAACAGATATGACCAATTTCTGAGCCTGCGGCCCATGAGGAAAGAGGCAATAACAGATACCCTACGCTCAAAGTCTTCATCCAGCGAGCAGGGTTCCCACGCTTCTTGAAAGTACTTGAGTTTCAGACATATGGATTCAAGGCCTGGAAAGTACTTGAAAACAAACATGGGTCCTTGAAAGTGCTTGAATTAAATTTGAAATAAATTGTTTATGGCGCTATTTAAAAATTGTGCTATATGGTCTGTCGAACAAGCGGCACTAATGATTGGGGGTGGAGATGGGGGAGCACGAAAAAAAACTTGTGTGTGTTGATGTGCGGCCTAGAGACCTGAGCGGGACAGTTTTCTTAAGCCCGCTCCCGCAACGTGTGTGTCCCGCTCCCGCAAACATTCTTATCGTCTTATTGTATATATTTCATCAATGAAAATAGTTCCAAATATAGTAACAGCTGAGCCTCTGCGCATCTCTAAAAGCAAACACAGTCGAGTTTCATTCATGAATGAAAGTGCATTTTTGAACGAATCTAGTGAGTTAGTGATTCATGATTACCCATTCATAAATATTTCATTCCTGAATGAATCAGCTGTTCAAACGAATCAATTGAATGAATGATTCAGTGATAAAATCAGTGACTTACCGCCACCTGCTGGTGGATTTAGTTTCATTTTTAGCGTATAATTTCAGTTATTTAAAACATTTAATATTTCTGTATATCCCCATGAGAAATATTAAAAACTAATGCAATACAGAAATTGCTAACTTAAGACATGACCATTGGTCAGCAAAATGCTGTCAGGAAAAAAAACAGGTGGAGAAGAAAAGACAAACATTAACTGCAAAAGAATTAATAATTGTGAAGAATTAGGTGTGAAACCATCAGGAAGCTTTTTTTTTTGCAGATGTACGAGGTTTAAAATTTTCATTAAATATTTTCAAAAAATATTGACATTTTGAGCAGCTGCATTCCTCTAGGTCAATACCAGTATTGATTTCAATGGATTTAATTAAATTCCTTTGAACACAACTGCTCAAAACGGTCTAAATTTATGAAACCTACACATTCAAAACATTATTACTCTGAAATGTTTAATGTAAATGTTAAGTGTAAGTGAAATGTTTAGTAATTTAAGGTCTTTCATGACACTACATATGCTGGGGTGTGAATTTGATAGGTGCTTGATATAAAATAAATGGTGCT